TGTCTCCTTTTGATTTTGATGCTAAGTTTACCTTTTGTTTGTTTTCTGTAAAACTTCGTCGTTGCTTAATTTACAATATTATTCGGACTATTGCACTCATCTTTGTCGCCATATTTATTACAACGTTTCGGCCATTGTACGCTCCGGCCTTCTTCAGGTGGTTGGAATGTCGAACTTAACCCTTTATTTCGCTCAATGGGATAGACTGTTCTAGTTCCATAATGGATGTCAGTTATCAGTTATCTCCTGTTAATTCCCCTCTCCAAGTTCTCCACTGCCTTAACCGGGTATTGAACCAACACTCTTTGGGTAAATAATGTACATAATACCTCATCTCAGAAATAGACAGATCTGTCGTTGCTATACACTGAAAATTAGATATTTATTTGATAAAAAGTTTTTACTCAAAGACAAAATTTTAAACATTTCATTTAAATTATTGATTTTTAAAAATAACCATAAATCGTTTTTATAAAATTACTTGTAAAATCTGATGAAGAGCTTGACAACTTTAAATTATCAATTAATTAGGGTATGTCAAATTAAATAAAAAAAGGACAGTAATTGTTACAATCAAGAAAATTAGACATAAATTTCCAAATTCCTTAAGATTCTTAAGTTAAGAAACAACAGCAAACAAACCAATACAAGGTAAAAACATGTGCGAGGGAGGCAATGAAGTTGTCCCTTGACCTTCAGGCATCCCCCACCTATACTACACACAAATACATAAAAAAGAAAAAAAAAAAGAAAAAGAAGAGTAATACAAAAAAGGTGGACTAAGCAAGATTTCAAGGAAACGTTCAAATTGGAAGTGGAGTTACGGCGAAAAAGCTTTAAGAAAAAAAAAAGTAAAAATAAAATAGGGGTTTCAGTTTGGCGTAGACTTTGTGACATTTTTCAAGAAACTGGCCGTTTTGGGTAAAAGATTTATGATCATGTGAAGAAATCATTAAAAAAAAAAAAAAAAATCAGAGAGAGAAAGAGAAACAGGAGTCCAGAAAACAAAAATAAAAGCAAAAGAATGAATGGAATTAAACTGGTACAATTAAAACAAATAAATAGTAGCAGTAGTAACAAGTACAAACAACTAATAATGTCGTTTTTCCTACTAACAACAAAAAAACACACGCATCATACAAATCATTTTATTTTTAAACGATTTAAGAAAAGTACCTACGATTTTTAACAGAAAGATTAATTATCCGTGTAATTAAAATTCGTCACCAAATTTTTACAGTAAGGAGTAAAAAAAAAAAAAAAAAAAAAAAAAAAATTATAACACCAACTAACTAACAGTGACCAAAACAGATGAGTAAAACGAGTAAAATATAAAAATAAAATATACTTACTTTTAAAAATGTCACAGACGTGTCACATTTATAAAATCTGACAACCGACAAAGGACGTCATTCATTTCTAATAACAAATGATAAAGCTAACATCACACACAGAATATGTGTACGTGTATGCGCATGTATATATGTGTATATGCGTGTGTTATAGATAGAGAGGTGTGTGTGTATATGTGGGTGTGCGTGTGTAGCTATATATGTGCGTATAAGCGCGCGCAAAATATGGAAATTACGATTGTAGTGATGACAACGGTGCGTGCTGTTATCGGTAATAAAGAGCACATTGTTGTGTGCGTGGACAGTGTTTACACGAAAATATCAACAGTTGCATCAACAAAAGCCAAAAGGTGTATTTATTTTAAACTATCATTTTTTTTTTTAAATGTTAACATTTTTTTTACGTCTTTGGAGGCTTTCTTTTTTAACATTATTGTTTACTTACCGATGGCGATGTAATTTAATTTTACCTTTTTCTTTTTGTAAATCGAGGATGGATTCATGTTTTTCTACTCTATTTTCAGGGGAGTTTACTTTAAAAAGAAAAAAAAAATGTCTTTTCTCCTCCAACCCCCAAATTTGCAGGTCGGATATGTAGATATTTTTCAGGGGTGAGGGAGAGCACTGGTAATTTACATTTATTTGTGTCACAAGATGGACGAGAGAGAGATTGTTGAAAGTAAAGAAAAAAAAAAAAAACATGCTGAATTTAATTCAGATTTTTATAACATTAACAACCACCCACTATTACGTAAAAATATCTCTCCATCTCTTTTTTTTTAACATTACATTTTTCGGTAATAATATGGTGTAAAAACAAAAATCTGCTAAAACCCTAAGAAATCCTACTAACTTGAGATGACGAAAATAATTTTAATTTTCGACATATTCAACAATCAGCTGTGTCTCTAAGTTATTATACAACTGTTATAGACTATATAGACTAACAGTTACTCAGTTGTATGTCTTTTTTCTTTTAGCAATTTGAATCGTATCTGAACCCTTTTTCCCCCCGAAAAGTTGCTGATAGGCGACAAGTCACCACTGTCGTAATTTTTTTTTTAAAATTCAAAAATAAAAATTACTATTATTGATGGTGCACACTACCACTGTAGAATTCAGCGTTAACTTTTTTTTTCTATCTCTAATTGGAATTCGAACATTCAAGAGACTATCTTCAAAAGAAAAAAAGTCTTTTTCATCATAGGTCATGTATGTGTCTGCCCATTGAGTTCTGAACTCACATTGAGACAGATTTACACACAATTGAGAAAGCTGTGAATTAATTTTTTTTAAATTATAACAAAGAAAAAAATTTAATGCTATATGACTATTCGGCTATGTAAGAAAATACAACAAATTAATATTCTTTGCTGTCGCATGCAGAAATCTGTCGTTTGTTATATTTCATTTAAAAATATATTTGTAGATTCATTTTTAAAATATCTGATACAAGCCAGAAAAATATTATTTAAAAATAGTAAGTAAATACTACAGCATCCAACACAGAATTGTTCATTTAAATTTTAATGTTAAAAAAAAAAAAAAAAAAAAAAAAACTGACAATTTATAAAAATTTATCTTACAAGAATGAAACAAGAATTTTTACATTCGTTTGGCTTGGTTCATTCATTTTTCCATCAGTATGAAAAAGATTACGTTTGTTCTTGAAACGAATTGCTTTCTTGCATGTTGATTGTTGATATATGGTTTTTTTGGAAAGGACTACTGATCGTTGTAGAAATTGAATAACAGTCAAGAAAGGTGCTCGTTAGGTTTGAACTCAAAACCAGGGGGATTAAAAAGAGAAAAAAAGCAAAGAAAAAGACTCATTTCGAACTGAGCCGCATCACATTTATTATTATTAACGAATTCATCACATTGTAAGAGATATTTTTAGCAAGAACGGGGGGGGGGATATACAAAATATCCCAGTTTCTCTCCTTTTATTATAATTTAGCAAGTATTTCCAAGTTTGAACCGCAAAAGAACTTTAGAAATAAAATGGGTAAAAAAAAAAAAAAAAAAAAAAATTCTAGAAATGAGAATTTTGTCATAATTTTGCTAATGGAGGAAAATACTTAAATTCGTTTTTAAACTTCTATAGAAAGAAAAATCTTATTCAAAATGTCATTCCTCACTATTTCAATAGTGTTGACTGTTGATGTTTATCAGAAAATACTTCCAAAACTTAAGAAAAAAAAATCACGCCATAAAGATAAGGGGTCAGTCTGTCACCAAAAAAGCAGTGCGAAATAGTAAAGATAAGATTAAGATTTATTATTAGTTATTACCTTACTGCTATTACAAATGATAATTTTAAAGATCTTTAAATATTGAAACAAAGTAGAAAAGGTCTTTTTTCTTTTTACATATTTAAGTTTGAACTTTCGATCATAACACCCAAACCAAGAACAAAATATGGACAAAAAAAAAAAAAAAAATCCCAAAAAAACTGGGATTTAGGAAAAAATAAAATATCCAAATTTTACTAAAAATAAAATAAATAAAAAAAACCTCCATCACTATGACGATCAAAGGTTTATTTTCTTTGAGTAAGATTCGAACCCACAACCTAAAAATAACTCTTAAAAAAATTCAAAGCTACATTTTTTTCTAAATATAGAGATTATGAAACGAATAGATTAAGTAAAAAAAATTCATTAAAATTAAAAGATCTGTAATTAAATAATTTGGGCTTTGATTTTTAGAGACACGATTTTTGAAGGGGGAAAGTGCAACTCAAAAGCGGTTAAATTTAAAAAAAAAAAAAAAAAAAAAAATCTATGAAAAATACAAATAAAATCGCGCACTTGTACGTATGTCATGAGAATTTTTTTTTTTTTAATAAAGTTGAAAAATAAAGTACAGGATCAGTCAGTCAGTGGTTACTCTCCCTCTCTCTTCCAACTGAAATCCTCAATATAAATACGATTTTATTCTCGCCCAAACACGAAAATAAAGTGAATAAACTAATTCAGTTGTGAAATGAGATTTAATAAAAAAAAATTTTTTTAAAATTCAAGTTTCAATCGAAGGAAAAAAAAAAACAAGAACCTTCATTTAGATTTGAACACAGATCATAACTATAGAAGCACAACGGCACGGCCGTCAACTCGATTAATTCAAACATCAGAGATAAAAGACAAACAAACAGCGGATTTTGATAAAGGAATATTTTAGCATCAACAACCTTAACGATTAAAGAAAATGCGTATTTAAAAATTGAGTAAAAAAATTCAACCCCCATTTTATGACCATTTAATGAAACTCATATTTCTTACGTACTTAAGATTTTTTTTTTATATATTATATTAAATAATTAAAAAAGATGAAATAACGATTAATCAAATTTAACGTTTCGGATAAACAACTTATTAAAAAATAAACCCGTTGTTTTTCTAGCTTAATCAAGTTAAAGAAAAATAGATAAGCGAAATGTCAAGAACAAGAGAGTAAAGACAAGAAGGACGTCTTTTTAGCCATCGCTTTAAAAAAAATCGTGTCAACTGTTTGCGGGGACCCTATGTTATGCAGTCTAGATTTCGTAATTAACACCGATTACAAGGATAAAAATGCCATGAATAGAGAGATAAAAGGTTATAGGATCTGCACGAAGTGAAATCTGGAAAGAAAGTGAACGTTTACCTGACTGTCTTTTCACGAATGTCGAAATTCCGAGACAGTAACAAAGTCAAAATGAAATTTCTCCCGCCATGTTGCTGCTGTGCGAAAAAAAACACAAAAATCACTGCGCAGAAATACAGGTTGTAATCATTTATCAGCAAAGAAGTTAAAAAAACAAAAAGTAAACACTTTAACTCAGTTAAATTTTGACTATTTTTAAATTTCAAAGCAAAACTGTAGGGAAAATATCATTTCTTTTGTGCTTTCTCCGTTACAAAAACTTGCCTAATCTTGGATAATAGCAGAACTATATTTATTGCGCAGTAGTATAATGGAGGTGATCTAAGCTGAGAGCAGCCTCGTTTTGAAAATGATTTTCGAATCGAGTCGCGCGTTTTTCGCTCTGGTAAAACGCGAAAGAACCGCTTCTTTTTAGTTAACTTTTTCTGGGTTGTCTTCCTTCAGTTTTTTACGACACACATTTTGTTGAATTTAAATTTAATCATTGTTTTTAACCGAACTAATTTTTATATTGCTTATTCTATCATATGATAATTCAATTTAATAATAGAACATCATTTTATTTAAATAAAAATGTATGCAATTTAAATTAGCCACGAACAAACAAATCTTTTTTTCTTTTTTTTTTTTTAGTTTAACTTTAAATTATGAAATTGATTAATTAAAATTAAATCATTACTTGAAATTTAATTAGGTTATTTTTTATAAACAAAATGTAACAATGACAATGTATAGAAATGACAAATGCCTGATAAATTGTAATTTACATAAAAAAATCTTTGCACAAGCTGGTGTAGCTTCCCCTTCAGTCCAAAACCGACTTGTCAAATTTTGTACCCAATTACCTTGCCTTCCACACCCAGGGATGTCGGGTTACAAAAGAATGTTTACATTTTCGATTCAATGAATTATAAAATAAACTTACAAATGCTTCAATAATTAGGGAGGGAGAAGAATAAACATTTCACCATGATTAAATGAAATTTTGAAATTCAATTATATATTTGAATTTGTTAATGAAAAGCAAAAATTGGAGCTGTTTTACTTTTTACTCAACAAATATGTGACATTGCACGTGATTTCACGACAATAAGTCCTCAACCGCACCCGTAAGGTAGATTTACAAAGAAAGCTAAAATATCCATTTGTTTTATTATTGTATTTTAAATCTTATTAAATTAAAATAAAAATATTTTTAATTGTTAATTGATGCTATTTCTTTGTTTGATTCATTTTTGCACCTACGAATGCGAAAGTAATTTTTTATTTACACTGTGACTATTGCTTTGGAGTGGACTGTTGTTTTCATCTTCGTTGCCAGTGAATAAATACGTTGATTGAATCCAGTGATTTGATTCAAAGAGTTGCGAGTTCAATACCTGGCTATAGCTGAGGGGAGCAAAAAGTTGATTTAAAGGGAGATAACTGATACTGAGGCACCCGAAAGAGGCATGGCACATGGAACTAGAAAAAAATTATACTGGTGGACGAAATAAAGGGTTCGCTTCAAAATTCCATTCTCCTGAAGAAGGCCAGAGTGTACAATGGCAAAAACGTGAATATGGCAACAAAGATGAGGACAACAGTTTGAACAATGTAAATAGTATAAATAATTACAATACCTCATCTCAGAAATATAGACAAATAATAGCTTTTTGTAAATATATTTTTGTTCGTTTCTATACAAACGAGTTAAATATTTCTGGTGAGCAGATAAAAAATACAATAATTATTATTGCAGTTGTATTTTTATTACATTTGAATCCATCCACTGATTTTTATCATTACTCATCAGTTCCTATGTGATCATTGGGAATACAAGGTGCTGTAAGCCTGGATGTGTGGATTCTGTAATGGATAAAGACTCATTTACTAATAATTTTTAATACAATAAAAATAATGAAAAAAGGGATTATCATTGGTCAGGAATTAATGCAAACATTACTGACAGAATAGGGTCATTATATATATAATGTAAATGTATTACTAATGATTTTTATTATAGTATTGCATTGAACATCAGAAAGAAAGGGATTGTCAATGGTCAGGAATGAATGCATGCATTACTGATGGAATAGGGTTATGCATATAATGTACCCACATTGCTAATGAATTTATTATAGGAATGCATTGAAAATAAGGAAAAAGGGGATTGTCAGTGATCAGGAATGAATGCAAGCATTACTGATAGAATAGGGCTATTATATGTATAATGTAAATGCATTGCTAATGATTTTACTATAGGAATGCATTGAAAATGAGGAAGAAAGGGATTGTCAGTGGTCAGGAATAAATGCAAGCATTACTGATAGAATAGGGCTATTATATGTATAATGTAATTGCATTGCTAATGATTTTACTATAGGAATGCATTGAAAATGAGGAAGAAAGGGATTGTCAGTGGTCAGGAATAAATGCAAGCATTACTGATAGAATAGGGCTATTATATGTATAATGTAAATGCATTGCTAATGATTTTACTATAGGAATGTATCGAAAATGAGGAAGAAAGCGATTGTCAGTGGTCAGGAATAAATGCAAGCATTACTGATAGAATAGGGCTATTATATGTATAATGTAAATGCATTGCTAATGATTTTACTATAGGAATGTATCGAAAATGAGGAAGAAAGCGATTGTCAGTGGTCAGGAATAAATGCAAGCATTACTGATAGAATAGGGCTATTATATGTATAATGGAAATGCATTGCTAATGATTTTACTATAGGAATGTATCGAAAATGAGGAAGAAAGGGATTGTCAGTGGTCAGGAATAAATGCAAGCATTACTGATAGAATAGGGCTATTATATGTATAATGGAAATGCATTGCTAATGATTTTACTATAGGAATGTATTGAAAATCAGGAAGAAAGGGATTTCAGTGGTCAGGAATTAATTCAAGCATTACTGATAGAATAGGGCTATTATATGTATAATGTAAATGCATTGCTAATGGTTTTTCTATAGGAATGCATTGAAAATGAGGAAAAAAGGGATTGTCAGTGGTCAAGAATGAATTCAAGCATTACTGATAGAATAGGGCTATTATATGTATAATGTAAATACATTGCTAATGATTTTAATATTGGAATGCATTGAAAATGAGGAAGAAAGGGATTGTCAGTGGTCAAGAATGAATGCAAGCATTACTGATAAAATAGGGTTATTATATGTATAATGTAAATGGATTATTAATTATTTTACTATAGGATTGCATTGAAAATCAAGAAAAAAAACACTATCAGTAGTCAAAAATTAATCCAAAACTGATAGAATAGGGTTATTAAAGTTTTAAACTTGGCTTATCTGTGTTCTCGAATTAATCTCTGAGAAAGTGCCTGCTTTTGGTCAGTGGTAAGGTTCATCATACAATTTACTGATATAGTAAATATTGGGTGAGTTTAATCCTCAATGGGTGCCCATTATGATGAGCTTGAGTCAAGCTAAGCTAATTTCTTTTAACTAACAAATATCCCTATTTCAAAATTATTCTATAATAGTTAAATTCTGAATTAAAATGTTGCACACTTTTCACTTTTTTTCTCACTTACTCAATTTTTACTTTGTCAAAATTCTTCCATGTGTCTTATTTAATGTTTTTAACTCTGATCAAGGCTTTAATTTTAGATAAAGCAATTTTTTTGGTTACTTCCTTGGTCACTATCTGGACTTGACATCACTGGTAATCCTGTCAGACTTCCAAAGATCTAAAAAATATTTTCCTGCACATGTATGGATGTAGCCAGAATTAAATCATTATTTAACGTAGAGATTTAGACACCATAATGTAAACAATGCGTGAATGTAGTCTGAATAAAATAACAAAACTAGCAAATCAGAATTAAGGATTCAATATCTGGCTAATCAAACAAAAGATTAAGAATCTAAAATTTTTGTCAAGTTGAGCCTATCTTTACTGATATAAGCAGAGGAGTATTATCATTTAGACATATAGCAGTATAGTGACAACAGAGAAAGCAACCACATTGACAAACCAGGAAAAACATATCTGTATAACACACTGGTACCATAAAATTCTACTTAATACTCCCAGATAAGGAATTTGACACATGGACTGATACTCTACTGATAAATAATTAGATTTATTTGTAAGTACGAACCACACATGCTAAAACCAAATATGCTCCCAAAATCTTACATGTGTAATTTATGACCAATGCTTGTCATCCCCACAATGAACTAATTGCTCTGACAGAGACTTGTCCTTTTTTTTCCTCCAGTGCCAGTGTTCTGCCTAATAAAACTTTGTCATTGTTTGTTCTATAAATCCATGTTTGTGCGTATTCATGTTTCCATCATCAGAGGCATTGCTACTTTAGTGTCGATGAAAGAAATCATAGCTAAAACATGCTCTACAATGACAATTCAAGTATAAGCCTAAAATGGTGAACATTTTTTTACTACTGTAATGGTCAACTATCAAAGTCAGGTTATGTAAAATTGTACATATAATCTAGAAAAATACTCCCCATAACTTCAAGTACAAAAATGAAAGAAATGAAATGTCTATTTTACAATATTGTGGTTATTGTCCTTGTCCATATGTCTCAAGGTGCATTTTCATTGACATCAGATATGTACAGTAACTGGAGAATAATAATTAGTAGCACAAAAAAACAAAATAATGTTACTGGGAAATTTCCAACTAAGAAGTTCTATGAAAATAGAAAAAATATTTTTAGTGGGAATAATTGTTCTGTAAAATTACTTTTTTCCAAGAATACAAATATTGTTCTTGTCAGGGCATTAATAATAAAAGAGAAGTTATAACCTTACACCAAGTAATGTTAATTTTACTACAAAAGACATTTTCACAAGATAGAAAAGTGAGTAGCTCTTTCTCTATGATGAACAAAAAACTTATGTTAGAAGCTTCCTACATAATTATTTACATTAAATTTGAGGGTAGTGCACAAAAAGGGTTTAGCCATGTATAGCAAATAAATGTAACAAATTAGGCGTGGTTTTCCTAGCCTTTGTGCACATTTCTTCATTAATGACGAATGTTTATCTGAAGACGATGAAAATGACCTTGAATAATTCAGTTGAGAATAATTTGCTACTTTTTTGTCTACAATGAAACAAACTAAATAGAATGTTTTTATTAAAGTTACCATCAATTGATATAATGTTACCAAAATGTAAAAAACAGTCTCAATTGGTGATAATGTAAGTGGCAGATGGCTATAAAAAGGCACTGTTGATTATTTACAGCTAATTTGTTTAAATAATTCACTGACAATTGTTTGTGTTACTTAGCAATAATCTATATCTATAAAACAGATGTGTATGTGTGCTATTTATGCACATCCACATTTCTCTACCAATTTTGATGAATTTGTACACACATGTTGCAAATTTACCAAATTAGATCAAGACCAACTTTTCAATCTCAAGACCCCCTGGGGTTGGTAGAAAAATTGATAAAACTGAAGGTGGGTATGAAATTTTGCAAAAACAATGGCAAAGTTATATGCAAACAAAATTTTTACTGGATGAGCTGATATTCTTTGCACTTAATGCAAAACATAGCTTATGTTATGAGGTTTATGTAGAGTGCTTGATAGTTTTCCTGCGACATTGGCTTCACACGAAATGAAAAAAATTGTAAAAAAATAAGGTTTTTTGCACTACTTAAAATACAAACTTGAATAACTTCTTCATTTTTTATCCAATTTTCTTCAAACATGTCACAAAAAATTTGCCATCATGCATAAAATAAGATAGTATGATTTTAATCCTACTCACTCCCCTGAAAAAAACATAAAAAACTGTTAAAAAAAAGCTTGTTTTTCGCTTATAACTCCCTGGTCTTTCATCTGACGCTTTCCAAATTTGCCATGTAAATTACATATGACACACAAATTGAAATCTGTAACAAACCAGGTTCAAAATCAGCTATTGCCATTTAGCCAATAGTTTCTTCATATGATTCTATCCTAAATTGGCATTTGAACAACTTTTGATGCAAAGATTATTTGAGAAGGATTATTGAAGCATTAAAAGGGAAAAATTCCCGAATAACCACTTATTAACCCCTGCTTTATAGTAAACATGCAAAGAAGGAGGGGGTAGAGGCTTTCATGTGTTTGCATGAGCAGTTGAATCAAGCTCTGACACTTCATCCCTGTTTTTGTTTGATTATTAGATTTGTGAACAATGTCATATTATTTGAAAGTTATTATGACCATAGGAAATTTACTGAATATCTAAAATATTGAAACAATTTAACCCTGAGCAATGACCACACAAGAAGGTTTTATCAATTGAATCCCTTTATTAAGAATACTCAAACACTTGTGAAGGACATACTGTAAAAAAGATGAATGGGGGGGGAGTAACTTACTATAGCAATGGATGATGCATGCAAGTGGGGATGCAGGCAGACATTTCTATACAGGGGGGTATGATTATACAATTGCAGCTATGTACACCTGGGCAATGCCAGGTATCTTGGCTAGTTGTAAGTAAAATGATGCACTAAAATAAGTAACCAAGTAATCGTTTTAAGTTTTCTGAATATCAGTGCCAAATTTCAACAGTTTGGTAAAAAAGGAATGTAATGTTGTAATGTTCGTTTCTTTTGTCTGTAAGGCAGTAAATGCATATTTTGTATGAATTCAGTTCATAATTAGATTAAAGTCCCTGAAGTTGTACTTTCAAAGTGATACACTAGAATAAGTAATCATGTAATCATTTTATAGATTTTCTGGCATTAAACACCCCAACAAAGGTTGATATGTCATAAAAAACAAGTCCTATATTGGTTCTGAACTACTGTCATTACAATCCTCTTGGATGAATGCTGGGTAATTTCCTTTCAGATGAAGAAGCTTCAAGCAACAGATGTGGTTCTACAGACAGATGCTAAAACCATGTACTGAACATGTAAGTAAAAGCTTGGAGAATTTGATACTTACAGGACATATTGTGTTACTTAAAATGATTACTTTGCTACTTATGTCAATCTAAAAAACATTCTTAGTTGGCAATAATATAAATGACAGATCTCTATAAAAAGGAACTGTTGATTATTTACAGGTAATTTGTTTAAATAATGCACTGAAAATTGTTTGTGTCAATTGGCAATAATTTTAAGTAAAATTATGCACTAAAATAAGTAACCAAGTAATCATTTTAAGTTTTCTAAATTTCAACAGTTTTGTAAAGAGAAATGCAATGTCTGTCTTTACAATATCTTTGTTATCACTATTGCCTTAGCTCCACAAAATTTTACATTTAATATATATATATATATATATATATATTATAATTGTTTTTTAAAAATATATAATCATTGCAACACTGAAAACTTCAATTTAAATTCAATCATAAAAATTAAACCAATCCCCCATTCAGAAACCTTGCTGCCAGATGTAGCTTATCGCCATACTCAGGACTACCACTGGAAAGGAACAAGATTTGAAGAAATCAAGATTTGAGGAAATCTAAGAGAATGCAATGAGGCAGTTGCTCACTGTCCCTGAAAAGGAGTTCCAGGAATACTTCCATCAATGGAAACAATGCTGGATAAAGTGTGTGGCTTCAGAGTGGGACTACTTCTAAGGAGAATAAATGCCAAATTGATATGTGTTATAATTTTTTTTTTATAGTACCAGTATGGTTACTTTTTGATCAGACCTCATTTTTTATCAAATAACATTTTCAAATGTTCTAATTTATTTTTTATGTACCTTTCCAGCTGGCCTCACATTTTTTTGATTTAGCTGAATTAAAGTATATATAGGTATTTGTCCATGTGCTCATGTTGCAACAGAACATGATACAAAGTCAGAATTTAATATGGGATTTCCAGAAAACACTGTAAAAACATTGCTCAAGCCACCTCAATATTTCCTCTTTTGGAGATGCCTCAAGTGCTGGGTAATGACCCCAGCCCCATGAAGGAGTGGTACTGCCTGGGCTGATATTAAATTCAACTTCCATGGTGTATTGCCTGGTAAGAATTTGCAAGGATAGGTCTTCACTGAAAGCAGAATCCAGTTAAATATTTGTCAAACATATATAAAAAAATTTATTAGTTAGTAATATAAAACCTTTTGTAATTGTTTGGTCTGTGTTATATTCATTCACACCATAGTGGTAGTGTAATTTTAGGCTTGTTTTTATGAAGATAAAAACAGGAAAAATAAACACACACAGTACAGAAAAAAGAATGGTAAATTGTATGTTAATTTCATACAATTTTATTTATGTATTTGTGTGTATTTTTTTTACTTTACAAGTGTGTTAATGTAAATGTTATAAAAGAGAGCAACTTACTCTGTAATATTACAAGTCCTATCACAGAGAGAAGTTACACATGTTGTCATCTTGATGGTTCTTCAGCGAAGAGGTTGAATATAATGTCTTTTGGTGGGATGTCCATATTTCTGGCAGAACAGTTTTTGTTGCATGCTGGGAGTAATTTTATTATTATTATATTTTTTTATTTTATTTATTTTAAACAAGGTTTAAATATTATTGTTTTATTTTATATATAATTTTTATTATTTTTTTATTTATTTGTAACAATAATATCCCTACATGTCCACTTGTCAGGAGGTAACAGCAATTGACTGCCAATTTTCTCATTGTCGTTATTTTTATATTAAAAAATAATTTATGTGCTTTTTGTTCATGTTCAGTTGATTTTTATCTTCTTTGTGTGTGTATGTGTGTGCCCGCATGTATGCGCATATGTGTGTATGCCTGTGTGACATTATTAAGAGGGTGCTGGTAAATTAGGAAAAATGTTTTAAAAATAAACTGGAAAACAAGAAAAGTACTGTTTTTTGATAGACTGAAAATATACTGATAACAAAACAAGAAAAATGCTATTTTTTTTCAATAGACTGAAAGTATACTGATAACAAAAGAAGGAAAATGAAAAGAAAGGATATCTGTTTTCTTTTCTCTCCCTGCCCTGGGGTTAAGATACCAATGGTGGCTAGCATAGAAGCCATCTGTTTTTGGTCAAGTTAATATTAAGTGATGGTATTTTCTTAAGTATCCAATCAACCCCGCGTGAAAGAATTGATTATATTTTAACAACCTCAAGTGTCAACAAGGGAATGAGATAAAGCATCAGTGGGATACTTGTTGAACAAAGTGGGTAATGGAAAGGCCATCCATGAAGGCTAGCAGCGAATCTCTAGCCAAAATTTGGTCAGTTGATAAGACTTTGATTTTAAGACCGACATGTTTCCAAATGTAAACAGGAATGGAATTGCAGTTATATTTCTTTTTCATCTGCCTAAGACATGATAAAATATATTAAAACAAAGGAATTGTCTCTTTTTGTCACTTAATGACCAAAGAGCTGGTGAGGGTAAGTGACAGGTGACAAATACCAGATGCAACCAACCCCACAAGGATGCGATAAGAATACACCACTGATGGAAATTTTGAATGATAATTAAATGCAGCAATTTGGGCTAGACCATGCCTAGCTTCTGGGAACCGGTTTGATCAGGAGACAAAGCGAGAGGTAAAAGCCTAGAATTCAAGGAAGGCGGAGGAATTGCCTGCACCCTTTGGGCAGTCATGGTGAGAGGCACCCTCACAAGATGAAAGGAGTTAGGCAGATTGATATTCTGCCAACACCACTCTTCAGGAGAGGGATTTGCCTAAATTTGGTCAGGCAATCAATTTCCCAACCACCTCATGCCTCGTGCTGGTCTTGCACAAGGGCCCATAAATACAGACAAGTCAGGCGAGAGACGAGAAGAAGGAACCAGACAGCTCGAAGCACTGTTTGTGAGAGGGACGCATTGCCAGTTGGTTCAAGACCAGCTTTGCTAAACCCTGTGCAGCTACTGCAGAAAGAACTTAGACTCTGGCCTTGTTCCAGACTGCCAAATACAACTGAATGGTCAGCCCGAAGAAATCACAGAGTGGAAGAAATCAGACTTCAGTTTTGTACCAGTTTACCAAGTGTGGTTAAACATAGTGTCATGGGGCATTGTGGGGGAAGGTGTTGAAAATTTGCATGTTGTTAATTTAGTGAGGAGAACTTTCATTGTATGAACCTTTGAAATAAAGTTGTTGTGTTACACAGCTGTCTCTTACTTTGTTCCTTGTGATGTCATCTTGCCAAAGCTACCGGATAAGCGACATTGAGTATATGACTTGGCATTTACCCACCCTGTGATCTAAAACAAACACGTGGGCAGGGTGGGATTGAGGATTGGGACAACCAACTCCAAGGCTGGTCATAAGGATTGACCACAGACTTGCTCGGTGACTGAGGGTGGGATTGTGATGTCATACCTGTGCATGTGTGTAGAATGTCATAGTTATTTTCTCCTTTTCTTAAATTTCTTGTCTCCTTATACTTTCTCACTATTCTTTTTCTTTCTTTTTTCCTTTTTTCAGCTCAATGTCAAAGATAATGCAGCAATGATATTTTCAATGTTGTAGACAAGACTTTTATTTGGGCTAATTTTCTTGAATATTTTGGGTTTTCTTAAGTTTAGAAAATATAGGTGTATTTTGTTTGATATTTATTTCTTTAAATAATTAATGTTTTTTTTCATTCTAGGTTTGTCTTTTACACTTACTTTTTGGCTGGTCTTTACTAGCTATCTGCTATGTCCCAGAAAGGGATATATTTGTTCGTAGTAACAAAGTGGTTGTTCACTACTGTAACCGGGTAGGACAATCTAGCAGGTAACCGTAATGGACTGGTCCTCGTCGTAGTGGTAGGCAATAGGTGTAGGCAATAGGTGTAGGCAATAGGCGAAGACAATAGGTGTTGTCTGTACCTCCACATCAGTCTGTATTTATGACTGACACCAGCCAATCATATTACTGTGAGGGGGAAACCAGGTGTATGCATATTCATTACATCACTATCCTAGTTCTAGTTAATCTGACTCACAACCCATTCATTCAATACAATTTATTCATGCACCACAAGAACACATCCATCACCACTCAAATCCTGCATATACCACAATACCACATATTTAGAAGGGACCTACAAAACACCCAAAGACATAAAAATTTGAAAGCCTATATAGTTCGTTTTTACAAAAATATATAAAAATTTCATGATTCATGAAATGATGGTGGAGGGGAGATGAACCCAGAAAACAAACTAAAAATGCAACACAAAGACAAAACTAAAACAAAACAACAAATTTATGCGGTGTTTACTCATTCCCCCACGAGAATGAGATGTGACACAAGGTCGGATTAATGTGAGGACCCAAGCGCATACACTTGGGCAGGGACAAAAATTCCCCTCAGCCCCCACAACCGTCGATTGCGCTGGCCTTGGTGCAAGCACCGATCCCTCCTTCTTGTGCAATGGGAGGGTGCAGCCTCATGTTGCTGTTCCCCAGGGCTGGGCATCTCTTCAGTATAATTTTCCTCAGTTGCCCCTCTGTCCTTTGACAGAGAAGCCCCTGAGCGCATTCTGTCCAAGGACAGAGACGCAACTGAGAGATGATAAATAATGCGAAATACCTCCAAGGAGGGATTTACACAGTAGAAATTTTCCAAGCATAGCTTAGATGTGGCACAAGGCCGAAAGTATGGGGCATCCAGTGAGGATCGAACTCACTTTTCAGTAGTAACTGATCTAGCAAGACAAGCTTACTAACCATTACACCACGCCGAGGTCTCCCATAGTTATTTTCCAAGCGTAGCTTAGATGTGGCACAAGGCAGAAAGTATGAGGCACCCAGTGAGGATCAAACTCACTACTCAGTCATAATTGTTCTAGCGAGACAAACTTGTTAACCATTACACCACCTTTATGCACAAAAGGCTCATATCTGAGTTATATATTATCTACTTCTAGGTGATATCACTTTTCAAGTTGAACTAATTTGCAGATTTTAAAAGAATGTCTGATAGTTTAAAAAAATTCAATTTGATGTGTCACATTTGTCTGTAAAAGTTACTAAATTTAGAATTGGCTCTAAAAAATTACTGAAATAATTTGGTCAAGTCAGACTGTTTGAAACTCATTTGAAAAATATACACTCCTTGTATATTGGACAAGCAATCAACATGATGGCTGATCAAAAAGGTGGCTTTAATTTAAAGTTAAAATTCATCTGAAGCCTCTTCTATGATATATATAAGAAGACATGTTTTGGGCTACTCGAGGCGATATAATGGTTAGCAATATTGTCTTGCTAGAACAATTATGACTGAGTAGTGAGTTCAATCCACACTGGGTGGCCCCTACTTTCGGCCCTGTGCCACATCTAAGCTACGCTTGGAAAATCACTATAAGAAGACATGTCATTGGATATCTTCAGAAGGTAATATGAATTTCGACAAAGATAATGATTTTCAACAAGATGGTGTAATAATTTTTGATCAAGTCAGGAGACATGAAAATTTCTGAAGTCAGAAAAATAAGGTTCTAGAAAGAAAAGATATTTTTGGCTGCCACCTGTGGATGAGCTGGGCAGTTTTTCACAGAAGAAGAAAACAAAAAATAGAAGTCATTCAAGTGAAACCTTTGAATAGGACAGTGTTCTAAAAATGAAAAAAAAAAAATCAAAAAAAAAATCCCAGTGACACAAGTGGATTTACCAAATCCCCTGTCTGTTTTTTGTCATTTGATTAGGTGGATGCACCTTTTCTTTTTTGAAGATTGTGTTGTTTGTGTTAAGACTTTTTAAAAATAAATAAATCAAAAAGGAAGCATTTTTATATTTTCTTCCATATACGTTTGTGTATGAATTATTGTTTGCTTTTTTTACTTGTTCTACTTACTCAGAAAAGTCCATTTTAGTAGAATGTAGTTTGTCAAATTTCCACACTGTAATTTCTGTAAAAAAAAGCAGCTAATTATGTATGCTAGATATTTTAACTGATAAATGTTTACCTTAGAAAAATAACCTGGTAATTTTTCTAGGAAAAAGATTAATGTTCACTATTTATGAAATGTTGAAGGGTTTGTAGTGACTACTACTATGTTTGCCATGCCTACAGTTTTCTCAACTGTGATTGGTTAAATAATAAATACTGTTTACCACAGGACAATTTACTAATCGCAGTCACCACATTGAATTTTTCTGCTGTGAATTTCACAAACATGCTTTTGTCAGAAAATCACCGATTGGTTAATTTTTCATCCAATCATATATTTTCTGTGTTTGTTCAATTTTCCTGCCTTTGTTTCCTGGAACCTAGCAATAGTTATAAAAGCAGTGTTTTGTTCCAAAAATAGACAGTAGAAATCAGCAACTCACACACGTCTACACAGATTATTGATTCTACTCACTATGCACACACAGACACAGAACTTGAATTACATTTCACCATTCGTTTTCTGTGAACAAGTCAAGTTACAAACCAACACTCTGTTAGTTATACAAATAACAAACAGCTGAATTAACTGTATGTTTTTCTGAATGCAACATTCTATTTCAACATAGAACTTTGAACATTCAATTCAAGAAACATTCTTAATTACCTTTTATCTTATTCAAGCTAACAGATAAAGGGAAACTACTTTCTTTTCCTTAATATTCACACATTACAAAATTGTTTTGTATTTGTTGATTTTAATATATATTCTATTATTGTTTTTCATTGTTTTCCCTTGATTCAATAATGTATAAACGTTAAATGCTCTTCAACACGCAGCCACACTAATCTCTTCAACATAGTACACAAACAGCATTTACAGGTTTGTGGATATTCAATATATTTGTTCAAAGAATATAACTGTAAAGACAGAAGAAATTAATTGGTGAGGTGTGGGGGCAGGCTTGTTATAGTTAAGGAAAGTTTTACAAATAGATGTCAACTTGTTGAAGATCAAGTAAAATACAAATTTCAAACACTTTGCTGCACGATATAAGACAATATTCCTAAACAGAACTATTTTTGATATGAAAATCAAAACAATCCTTGAATAAAAGAACAGTAATGAAGGACAGTTAATTAATGAAATATACTTTTTAAAAATCAATATGCAAATTAGTTCAACCTGAAA